CGCGAAATGCAGGTTCATCACTGGGAACTGAATTACTCCTAGACAAAATAGTTGTCATCTTTTTCTTCTTCAGTAAAGAGAAAGGAAGCCTTCAAGCATTTCCTAACTGCAAAGAAGATCTGAATTAAAATCTCAGCTTTGATCAATCATTTGTTGGGATTGGCAGAAGTTTGGAGCAGAGGACTGAATGTTCCTTGCTCTATACTTGCAGGTTCCCCATTCAGGAAGGAGGACGAACGGGACAATATGCCAAATGTGTGAAATGGAGGAAACCTCCCACATTGTAAAAAAAAAAAAGAGCCAGAAATGTAAAATGATCTGCTCTTGTTTCCTCTTGTAAAGCTAATTCCTTGAAAGCTACATTCATTTAAAGTGACTGAGCTTCATTCACTGGGGACTGGTGTGTTTGGATCAGGACCAACATTTCTGCTGTGCAGCAAAGGATGAGTAAGGTGCAAGACCTCTGTCTCCAAGATACAACATGATTTTGCCCACAAATACTCTTTCAAGTGGGGTAAGGGGGACTCAGCGCCTCTGAAAATTAGAAAGAAAAAGGAAAGTGAAATAATTATTATAGCAGAAATTTTCAGTCATATCAGTCACCCCAACAGTTATGCATGAGAGAGAAAATTCCAAATAAAGCCTTCAAATTTTCAGTATCCTTCCTGTTCCTTCTTTTTCTTTCAAATTAAATGAAGAGGCTTGGATTTGCGGCCTGGATTTGTGTTCAAGTTGGCTGTATTATTTTTTAGGATTATGAAGCTGAAAGTTACTGAAGTTCTTTACCTATATGCAGATCTACATTTTAACTTCTCACCTTAAGATGAGACACCCATGTCTTTCACACTTCCATACTTCAAGAATTGCTAAAATTATATTGTTCAAACTCTCAAAAGTTTTCCCATTTAGAAACCTTTCTCTCACATAGACAGAAGACTGAAGTTAAAGCTGGAGCATTCAAGAGAAGGAACTGTTACACTGCAGCTCATCAACAGTGGTGTGTGGCTCTCCTATATCAGTACAAGATTTTAGCCAATGTCAGTGTAACTCAAATTTGGAAGCAGAGCCAGTTAGATAGCAAATTTGTGACTAAGTTGCACTTGTTGAATGCTGGTTAAAGTTAAATAAAGTTAAATGATGCAGTCA